AAAGAAAAATGAACAGCCTCCTGTCTCCATCATACCTTCACTTACCCAAAAATCTGATAAGATCTTCAGGAGTTCAAGACCAAGCCCTAAATTATTCAGCAGCTAAAAATAAACAAAATCGTAGGTAAAAGAAAACAAACCCAGATGATGAAAGGCGACATGAGGATCGTGGAAACCGAAACGGTTAAAAAGCTATCGCCTGCAACGGGTGATCTTTGAACACCCTCCGGTGTATGGATGGACAGGGCCTCTAGCCTTGTAGCAGTTATGAGTGTAGTACGACCTCCCAGAGCGAGGTGGGCATGGGATCCTGTTGGCGGAGAGAGCACCGTAGGAAATGTAGTAGTGAGTCGTCCTCCAGAACAGAGACCTCCGACTCATCCCACCATCTATGTCATCGTCCTCACCGAACTCATCGTAGAATGGCATTGTAGAAGGCCATTCCTGGGCCTCTGCCATTAGCTGCAAGCTCGTGTCTTCGGCCTGAACTTGAACACCTGATCTGCAACCGATGTAGACGAGACAGAAGCCAAGCAGTAGAAGGCCATGCCAGGGCCTCTGTCGTTAGCTGCAAGCTCGTGTCTTCGGCCTGAACTTGAAAACCTGATCTGCAACCAATGTAGACGAGACAGAAGCCAAGCAGGAGTAGAGGTCCCCGGTTTTCAGAGGAAGTGGTGAGAGAGAGAGAGAGAGAGAGAGAGAGAGAGCGGGAAGATAGACAGGGAACCAGAGTATATGATTATCATATAATTTTTGCCAGAACAAATAGCAGACGGGAACTGATTCAGAATTACCTTTTGTTAGCAGTTCGTACATCCCACCCGGACAAATTGGCAGCTTCGGTGAGAGCTGTCCTCCACCTCTGCACCTTCTCCTTCACCTTCACCACCCTGTAATATTCTTCTTTGTGTCTGGCAAATGCTTACTCGTAACTCCCGCTCTGTTTCCAAACATCCGACGGATCGGCATCGAAGAAAACAGGAAGCACCAACCGGCCTCCTGTTTTCCAGCATTCCAGAAAACAATTATCGATGCCCTTGACTCTTCTATGGCATTTAGCAGTTCTGAAGATATGCTTTTTCCTATCTTGAGTTGGTGGTCGTCTCTGAAGGTGCGGATTCCCCTTTCATCCAAAGCAGTAGAGGTGATCGATAAAGTAACTGTTGGACTCTCCGCCTCTGAAACTCAGGAAGACGTTGTAGTTCCGCCCGGTCCACGTGAATAAGCTGGGAGTGTGAAACGTGTCCTTCGCAAATGAGTCTTGATGAGACACGTTCTGCCACTCCACATGAAACGTGTTTTTCGCATGAAAGGTAACGTACAGAAAACGTGTTTTTCGCATGAAACGTGTCCTTCGCAAATCACTCTTACGTGAAGGACTTTGCCTACAGGCACAAGCACAAGTAGATTCCGTTTAGCGTAACGTAAGGAAAAAAAGACAGTTGGATGAAAGAATAAACACGAGGTGCCGCCTTTGAAAAAGTATGAGGTGTGAACAAGTACAACCACCTAAAGTTGGTATTTGACTCTGACAGATTCTCATCAAGTCGTCTACAATCTCATTCAATTTATCTACCAAACCCGTTCGGTTGAGAAAAGTAGACAATCTGCTACGCCTGTTGGCGTACCCTTTGCATAATCCATGCATGAATCACATCCTTCCATGTATTGATGCAAAAGCAAAACCCCCAAAATACACCCAAAGAAGGTGAATTAAGATATTAGCCCAACTGAACAACCAAGGCTATATAAGTGGTCGGGTATCCTCCTTGACTTATTATTATTCATGCAACTTGTTTCAAGCTCATGTGAACCCTCACATTGGCAGTTTGGCACGCGCAGGGTATTTGCATTTGCACCTCCTATTGAAAAAGTTATTCTTGTCCTTTTAATTAATATTAAATAATCACTAGAAGAAAGTGAGGATTTAATGGACTGGCATTTATATTATATTTAATGGCGTTTATTAAAAATGCCACTATATCCTTATCAAAAATGCCATTATATACAATTTTAAGTGCCAATTATTAAAATGCCGTTAAAGGTATATCTAAATTGCCGCTAAATATATGGTTTTTAAGTGGCATTTATTAAATCACCTTTAAAAGCCATTAAATATCAGCATTTTTTTAACCACTGATTTTACTTGTACATCAATGGCATAGATTTAACTTCATTGGAGAAAATATATGCAACAAAAATTGGTGCGTTTCTTCCCACCCACGCGCCCATTCTTCTTCTCTCTGGCAAGTGGCAACGCATGTCTCCTGCTATACTAGCAAAACCGCATTCATCAGTTAAAGCGGACGTAAACGTAATAAAAGGGGTAAGAAGGCTGTGAGGGGAAGAGGTAAGCTCTGATGTAGTGTGTTCGGACTGAGAGCTGGGAACAAGTTTGTGTTTTGTTGTGTCTTTTTGTGGTGTTTTCTGCGTGCTTTTGGTCTTTTGTGGTGTTTTCTGCTATACTACCAAAACCGCATTCATCAGAAGCCGTCACAGCAGAGAACCCTAATTTTTTCGCTCAAAACTAGCGTGTTCTTCTCTCCGGCAACGCACGTCTCTTGCAAGATACATTGAGTTCGGTTGTGCATGTCGTCATATCTTCAGCCATTGGTCTTCTGATGCTTGAAGCTGGTTAGTTCAATTTCGAACCTATGCATGTTCTCTATTTTTGTTTCATTTTAGGTTCTATTGGTTTATTTTGATTTTTGTGTGTTTTTTTTGGTAAAACATTTGGGGAGGGTGTTGGGAACATGAATTTTAAGAGATAAGAAAACTTCCCCTCACAGCCATATCAAGAATCCAGAATAAGTGTCACATCATGTGGATATAGGCATCTAAGCATGTTAGTTAAATGAATATAAATTGAAACAGGCTTATGCAATTAAGCTCAGGATCAAGCTATCTGAATTGGCCACATGTTTGCTCACCTAATCCCCCCATTAGTCTCTCTCACTCCACTTTGAATGGGAGCTTCTCTCTAGTGACAGTTGAGATTAGTAATTTTTTTTTCAATTAAAAAACCCAAAACAGAAATGGCTTAATTTTTGGATATATTTCAGGGCTACATATGAAACCAATATACCCAATGAGTAACAGATGGAGGAAGAAGCATGTGGCATGTGGTGTGCCTCTTCAGTCCATAATTAGGAAAGATTCCTGAATTGTTTATATTAAGGCTTATTAAATTTGCAATGCAATTTCATTAAGTATAGGAATGCAAATGAATTTGAATGCAAATTCTGATTTATCTTTTTTTCTGCTTGGTTGCATTATAAATGAAATAAAATTAAAATGAAACCTGAAGTGAAGTAAAACCTAAACAAAATTTTTATTGTGCAAGTGCCAATGAAATTGCATTGCAAAAAACAGGGCCTTTAAGGATCAGTTTGGAAGGACTAGAGTGCAAAACCTTGTATTTTGTATGTATTTGCACTGTACATATCTGTATTTGTACTCCTTCCAGTTTGGGAAAAGTGCAAATATAAATATGTTCAATGCAAAACCCTTTATATGGAATTTCTTTTCTTGTTAATGGTATTTCTAAACCTTGCACTTGGACTATACGTATTTGTATTTGGGATGCAAATGAAGGTGATACTCCATTGAAAAAATCCCTTAGATGCTTGCAGACTCAACTAGAAAACTTAGCTTGAGGCAGTGCTACGAAGAGGGTGCCCTCGCCATGAGAGCTAGGAGGTCCCCCCACCCCAACCACTTCTCTGTGATCCATGTATCAGACTGGGCCCACAAGTTTTAAAGCAAGTCTAGATGACTTGTCAACTACTATCTTAGACTCAAAGGCCCAAAAGTAGACTTATTAAGAAAGAAACTCTATTTTAAATTCATAATTAGCAAATTAAGGGGGTAAGAACCAAGATGCTTCTTAGCATCAGGGAAGTCTAAGGTGGAATCTATCAACTAGTGGGTCTGTGAATTATGGGCCCCATACTGATCTGCAATTTCTCCAGCCCCAGAGGCCCATATGAAGACATTTACTCGAGTAAGGTTTAGTTTTTTGAGACCACCTTGATTCATTGAGGCAAAAAAACCCACCATGGTTGATAAATTAGATTGTCCATGGGATAGATTTACTTCCTTTTTTCTGTCTGTTTTTAATCTGCAGTGGTCCCTAAGTGGACCAGCAAAGACTTATCTCTCATGGGGCTGAGTACTGAGTAGAGACCTCTCACCTACGGTCAACAGGTTGGAATTATTTTTGGCCGAATGATATTGCCATGTGACATTTTACCATTGCCAATTGACAATTCCACAATGTACTTTGTACTTTGTGAAACATTATTAGAAATTTATACTGGAATCTTCAACTAGTTTAGTTTTGGGGGGTCAAGAATTCTGCCACTCATCTTGACTTATTGCTTCTTTCTTCTGGCCCAAGTAGGAAGTGTCCTTCTATAATGAATAAGTCTATTTCAGTTGCGGATTGGGCTTTTTTGTGAAATTTCTCCAACTTTGGGTTTGAATTTGACTTCGATGCAGGCCGAATCAGCGAAAATCCAAAATATAAAAGTTGTGGATTTTTCTCTTAACTTTCTAGTGGGTCTTGAATCAGTTCATTCGGAGTTCGGAGACGCGAGTTACGCCCAAATCACTAAACAATGTCGAAACTGTAAAAAATCATCCGATTTATCTTTCTTTGCTCTTGATGCCTTCTTTCATGCCCTGAATAGAAATATGAGTCCAATTAGGTGTTAATTCAGTATAAAAAACAGAGTAATTGGAGATAAAAATATGATAAATTCTCCTCTCATCAAACCCCAAAATTTCGGATTTTGGTATGGCAAGGATTTTTGGAAAAAACAAGTCAGTAGAAAATACAAATCGGATTGTGGGGACTTAGTAAGTAAAAGCAACCTCTCAACTTTCAAATATCATTTACACATGTCACAGACTTTGAATATCTTTATATGTGTAATAAAATTTGATATAGACAATAACATCTCAAAGATTTGGGTTGAATGATTAAATGCAGCGGTTACATGTCTCCTGAATATGCCACTGAAGGCCTTTTCTCTATAAAATCCGATGTCTTTAGTTTTGGAGTTCTGATGCTAGAGATTTTGAGTGGCAAGAAGAGCACTGGGTTTTATAATTCTGACTCTCTCAATCTTCTTAGATATGTAAGTAGTGATAGAACTATATCCTGACCTTTATCTACAACTCATTGTTTTCAAGGTTCTCTAATCTAACTGAAACTAAACTCACTCTTTCAGGCATGGGAGCTATGGAGAAGTGAGAGAGGATCGGAACTGATAGATCCAATGTTGGGCGACCCACCATCTATGTCTCTGTCATTGAGATACATCAATGTGGCTCTACCGTGTGTCCAAGAAACTGCGGCTGGTAGACCGACAATGTCAGACGTCGTCTTGATGCTCAGCAACGAGCTTGTAGCTCTACCTTCGCCTAAACAACCTGCTAACTCTACTGCCAGAAGTCTGACATTAGTAAACTCCGATGCTAGCAGGCCTGGAATTTGTTCAATAAATAATGTCACGGTCTCAATGATGGAAGGCCGCTAGAATTTTATGTTTCCCATTTTGATTTCTTCACAAATTAAACATTTTTTCCTCCCACTCCCTGGTGCAATATGTTATTCTATCTTTTTTTCTTATTTTATTCTATTTCTGTCCAACGAAACAGCATTTCAGATTTCCAAGTGAATGGTATGTTAGCCACAGAAGATCCAAACAAATTTATGTCCACTGTCATCGTGAATATTTATGTCCTAGTATTTCTGTTGACGTCTTGCCACTGCAGAGGGGTGTTGTGTGTATTCGTGTCAGCGTGTGCGTATGTGGAGACAGGATCTTCTCCTTCCACAGGGCGGCTCACACCGATCTCACTGGCACATCCCACCATGCATTGGGAACATTTCCCGTATTTATACGTTATTATTCACAGAAGATGCTCCCAATGCATGGTGAGATCTGCATATGAGGTCGGCGTGAGGCACCCTGTGTGAGGAGCAGATCCCAATTCATGTATGTGTAGTGAAGAAAAGGGAAAATTCCACTTTAGAACCTTGAATTTTGGAGATATTGTCAAGTTAGTATCCGAAAATTCCATTGTAGCACTTAAACTTTCAAAAAGTATCAAGTTGGTCCTTGTTGTTAACCGATCATTAGTTATCTATTGAAAAATGTCAAAACTACCCTTCAAAAGAAGACAATGTTCATTGTCTTCTACCTTGAGACTGAACTGGTTGAGGTGTTTGAGATTCTAGACTAATGAAGTCATTGTCTTCTATCTTTAGATCTGAAGCACATTCTTGTCTATTATTTCTTTTCTTTCAATTATTGTTTCCCTCTATCAAATGAAGTCGAGGACTGGAAGACCACCGAGGCCAATAAGGAGGAGATGGCCAAATTCGGTGTCGTTTCCTACATGGAATGCATCAAAGACAAAGGCTTAGGTATTGGCACTCCAATCGGACTTCGATGTCAGTCTGCTGGGGCCTCAGTCCGGGGATGATCAGGTGGTCAAGGGGGCGGTGCCAACTGAGATGGTGCAGCCCTCCAAGGGCCATGTCGGTGACAGGCAGCCTGCACAAGCTAAGGCAACTGAGGGTGTGTGGACGTTGAAGCTTGAAGATGTTTCGCGGAGCGTTGGGGTTTCCTCAAGGAGTTTCTTTCTTTTTGTCTATTCTCCTCGTACAGCTCCAAGTTTTTGCTTATTGTTTGTTATTTTTGTAAGGGGCTCAACCTCCCCCAATCGAGGCCGACTTTTTGTAAAGTTTCACACAATTCAAATAAATGAAAACATACCGAGTTTTTTGTCTATCTTGTGCCTTTTCTTCTTTTTCTCTTCCTTGTTTTTTCTTTCTTGTTGTGCCAAGAGCCAATGCCCCCCTTCTATAGGTCACAAATAGTAGAAAAACTCATTGTTTCTTGGCCACTCACTTGGGAATTTAAGTTAAGGTAGTTAAGCCAAGGCTGAGCTTCGCCGCCGAGGGCTCGTGGCCCCTTTCCTTAGCGTAAGGAAAAGGGAGGCGATTGCCTTAGCTCGCCTGGCTCATTCTTCATCCCTGTCAAGGTAGTTAGGCCAAGGACGAGCTCTGCTACCGAGGACTCGGGACCCCTTTCCTTAGCAGGAAGGAAAGGGAGGCAAATGCCTTAGCTTGCCTAACCTAACTTTCCTTGGGGGCTTAGTGACTAGACTCGCATGCAGCTGAGGTTCAACAAGTAGTGCCTGGCCGAGGTCAGGGAGTGTTTTCTGCCTTAGCGAAGTAGCTTGCCCGTTTTAGTGTGTTGGTTCGCCTTAGTTTGCATTAGGTAGTAGGTTGACATCACGGGCCAATATCATGGTTGACATCCCTGAGGGTCTTTGCCTTAGCGAGAAGGCAAGTAGGCGTATGACTCCCCAAGAGTCGTGTGCCTTGGCCATCATCCAATCCGAGTGTATAACCTTGGAGAAGGTTATGTGCTACAGATAGTCGTACGACCGAGGGATCCTAGTAGTTAGGTGGAAAAGCAACGTTTACACTAAAATTTGAACTGAGGTGTGAGGAACTTTGCACTTTTCATTGGTAAACTCTCATACAAGTGATTACATCATTAGTAGTACATTTAGAGGTTCTCGGAGTTCCAAGTACGAGGTACATGTCTTCCGCTTAAGTACTCCAGCCAAAAGGTGTCAGGGCCGATCACCTGCTTGATTCTGTAGGGCCTTTCCTAGTTAGGGCCGAGCTTTTCAATGCCGGTCTCGTGCACCATGACCTTTTTGAGGACAAGGTTGCCTTCTTGGAAGTGGCATTCTCTCACCCGTGAGTTATAATATCTATCGACCCTCTGTTGATAGGCTACAACCCTGACCTGAGTTTGCTTTTGGACACCTTCCAATAGGTTCAGATTGTTTCTCAGCTCTTCATCATTCTCGGCCTCATTGTATGCCTCAGTTCGAAATGTCAGTTGGCTGATCTCTGCTGGAATGACGGCCTCGGTACCGTATGTCAAGTTGAACAAGGTCTCTCCCGTGGCGGTCTGAGGTGTTGTTCGGTAAGCCCAAAGGATGTTGTATAACTCATTAACCCAAAGACCTTTAGATCTATCTAACCTTGTCTTCAATCCTTCCAAAATGGTCCTATTGGTAACCTCGGCCAGGCCATTTGTTTGGGGGTAGCCGACCGAGGTGTATTGTTGCTTTATGCTAGGGCTTGCACACCATTCTCGGAACTTTGCGTTGTCTAACTGTTTGTCATTGTCAGCACCTGATTTTTGCTCGGTCCGTCGTCTGAACCCCAATTCACCCAAAATCCCCAATTAGACACTTTCCATCCTTCTGGAACACTCATAACCCAAAAAAACCTAAATTTTACCCCAAAAGCCCTTAGATCCACTGTTAAACTTACTTGATATCTATCTGATGGCCCTGATCAACCCTTACTTACACCTCGACTCTAAGATCAGGCACCACCATTAAACTCCAAAGAACCCAAAATACCTACCCAAAAAACTGTTGCTCAAAATTCCTTTATTTACCCCTCATCAAACAAAGATTCCATTTCGACCTCTCTCGTTAGCCTAAACACTTAGAACTTAGATTCCCTTGATCTTGACACATCCGAACTGATCAAACCACACCATTGAACTCTGAATACATCAAAACACCTGCCTATAAAATTTTAACTCTAGATTCCCACATTTGCCCTTCCATCAAACCAAGATTCAATTATAAAGCGTCTCATTGACCTCACCATCAGATCTCGGACACCTCCAAATATTCACCTATGAAATTTTAGTCCAAAACACCTTGGTTTACCCCTCTATTGCACCTAGATTCCGTTTTGAGACTCAAAATTAACTAAATTCCAAGTCTTTCTGATCTAGGTCCATTTGACTAAATCTAACCTTACCAATCACATTAGACTGTCCGAAAATCCTACCCTGTGAAATTTAACCCAAAACCGCCTTTGTTTGCCCCTTGATCACATAAAGATTTCGTTTCGAGGCTTCAAATTAATTGAATCAATCCTGATGTAACCGTTTCTGGTCATGTACCAACTTTTTGTGATGTATAAATTTTTTTGGCTAAGTACCTTGTTATTTGATCTGGTGGTGAAGTGCCTTGGTGATGAGCTACTTAGTGAAGAACTCCCTGGTGGAGAACTGCTTGGTGGTGAGCTCCCTGGTGGAGAGCTACTTGGTAATGAGCTACTTGGTGGCGAACTCCCTGGTGGAGAACTGCCTGGTGGCGAGCTACCTGTGAGGTGCCGAGCTGCTTGGTGGCAAGCTGCCTAGTGGCGAGCTACCAAGTGGCGAGCTACCAGTGAGGTGGCGAACTGCTTGGTGACGAGCTCCCTGGGGTGAGTTGCCTGGTGACGAGCTCCCTGGTGGCGAGCTCCCTGCTACTTGGTGAGCTACCTGGTGGTGAGCTGCTTGGTGACGAGCTCCCTAGTGGAGAACTACCTGGTGACGATCTCCCTGGTGGAGAGCTACTTTGGTGGACTCGTCATTTGACCTGCTCCTAGGTGGCCTGTAACTCAGAGGATGGTGGAGCTCCCTAGTGCAGCGCAACCCGACTGCCCTCTGCATGAGGTGACCTTCTTTCCTTTGTAGGTAGTGGAAGCTGAGGGACCAGCGAGAACTCCATCTTTTCCTCCTCTTTGTAGGCAGCGGGAGCTGAGGGACCTACGAGAACTGAATCAGAGGACCCGGGGGTATTTTCCCGGCGGGGACTCTCCGATGCCTAAGTTAGCATTCTAATTACAGAGAGCTTGGAGAGAAATGAGAGAGCTAGAGAGCAGGGGTTACCATCATTTTTTCATCCTCCCTTTGGCTTTAGGGGTCGGAGTCCTTATATAGTGGTGTCCTCGCGGGTTAGGTGGGTGAAAAGCCTTCAAATGGTAAGACTCGTCACATCCCGTCAGAACCGGGGTACGGTGGTGAACTCCTCGAGGTTTTCAGGCTGGCGCTTGTGTCAGGCGGCCAGGTCGGCGCCTGGGCCAGGTTGTCAGGTCGGTGCCTGTGTAAGTCAGCGGGTCAGTGTCTGGGCCAAGTTGTCAGGTCAGCGGGTCGGTGTCTGGGCTAGGTTGTCAAGCAGGAGATCTTCCTGCGATACGCCAAACAACTCTTCTGTATCAAGCTACCCTACATGAGGCGAGCTGCCCGGGGGAGCTATGCCGAGCTACTTGTGGCGAGCTCTGTCGAGCTGCCTGGCTCCTTGGAGCTGCCTAGCTCCTTGGCGAGTTCTTTGGTGAGCTATCGAGCTCCTTGGCGAGCTCCTTGGTGAGCTACCGAGCTCGTAAGGTATGCATGCCGTTATAGTCCATCGGTTGGCTTCTTATGGGTTGCCAGGTCGGCCAGGTCGGTTCGGTCGGATCATGTGTCAGGCTGATCCAGGTCGGCTAGGTCGGCCAGGTCGAATCATGGGCCAGGCTGATCCAGGTTGGCCAGG